CTCTAATAAATTTGTTAGTCTCTAAGGTGCCACAAGTACTCCTGTTCTTCTTTTTGTGGATACAGACTAACACGGCTGTTACTCTGAAATACTCCAGCTGAGGCCGTATCAGCGCAGAGTAGAGCGGAAGAATTACTTCTCGTGTCTTGCTTACAGCAGTCCTGCTAATACATCCCAGAATCATGTTAGCTCTTTTTGCAACAGTATTACTCTGTTGACTCATATTTAGCTTGTGATCCACTATGACCCCCAGATCCCTTTCCGCAGTACTCCCTCCGAGGCAGTCATTTCCTATTTTGTATCTGTGCAACTGATTGTTCCTTCCTAGTTTACAAGCCGAGGTGGAAATTTTCAAAAGCCAAGCTAGACATTAAAAGTCTTTGCAGCCCTGAGCAGTGAGCACTTCTCAAGACATCTGGAAATATGGCGGCAGAGTCTTGGCTTTCAGATAGCTGCACCAAAGCACTCCTGCTGCCACACTCGGAGGGTTCTGTAGTGTTGTATATGGAGCACCTGAAGAAGCAGTTTGATGTTGGATCAAGAATCAAATGTTTTACTTGATTATTATTAATTATTATTAATACTTTGACCAATAATTACCAGACAAGAAGGGAGAGCTCTGTCTTTGTCATCTGATGGTGCCGATGCAGGAGAGCCTGGTTCTCCTCTCGCTTACCTGTTTCATACTGGTGTAACACCATGGATTGGGATGCGACATTCCTGATCCACTCCAGTGTAGCAGAGCAGGGGCCTGCATTCTTCAAAAGAACCGAAGGATGGTGATCAATATATATATTTGATGGGAGCTTCTGAGGCCCCACAACAGCAGACTTGTTGCCAAAATGCGGTGTGAGATTTCATCACACAGCAATGAGATATTGATCTGCATCGGAATGGTCCGTTTTGCACTGATTCCACTGACCTGATCTCCCATTTAATTCCATTCCTAGGACACAGGCAGCCAGTACAGCCCACTTCACCCCATTAACCCCTTCCATGCCAGGACTCCTGCATCACCAGGGCTTTTCTCAGTGAAACGTCACCGTGTGGCCCGAGGCACTTTAGGAACCTGTCCTGTTTCCTAGCTCTGATGAAGTAGTTGGATTGAGGAGCAAGCGCAGCTAGAAGAGTCTGTCTGCATGTGTAGATAGACTTACAGAGCAGGGCCTCCAATGGGTTGGGTGTTCTCTGCATGGAGATAACAGGGACCATTCACACCAGGGGATGAATATGGCCCATAAAGTCAAATATTTGGTCCTGTTCTAATCTTTGGGCCATACTTAGAAACCCTGGGCATCCCCACAGCACAGAGCAAACCCCAACTGTTTGCAGAACCATTGCCCCCGCTCCCTCAAACCCCAACTGTCTGCAGAACCACCTTCCCCTCCCCAAATGTCCAACACTGAAGCTCAGAGCATTGAGCAGTTTAAACAGGGTAAGAAAGTTAGAGGGGCTAGGAATTTCCCCGAGAACAATCCAGCGCAGAACAGACTCCGAGGCTGCTGTAGTTGTCTGATTTTTTGTATTGATTGATTTTGCATCACAATGTACAGGACATCCAATAAATGTGCAATATACAAGGAAAGTGCCAAGAAAGGGGATGCAAGAGAGAGGCAAGATGGGGGCTGTTCACAGAAAGTAGCAGGGGTGTCGAGGTGCTACGTGGCCCAGGATTGCTAGCTAGCAGGGAGCACGCTCACTTCGAAGGAGCATCAGGACCGGTGAAGCAGCCTTTCTGATCCCACTGCATGTCCCTGATGCGACGGATAGACTGGACCTGGGGCTGGAAGGCCGACCATTCATTCCAGTGTCTGAAGTCTCCTCTCTCAAAGAGATATTGGTAGCCTCGGTAGCCAGGATACTGGTATCCAACCCAGCTTTAGGGAAAGCCAAAATAAAGCATCTCAGAGATGTAGGCTATTACAGGCCACACGGCACTGGGGCTCACCTGGATCAGTGGGCCAGTATTTAAATCAGAAGCCATCAGGTGTACATCTATTGCCAGGGCCGGCTCCAGGCACCAGCGCAGCAAGCAGGTGCTTGGGGCGGCCAACAGAAAGGGGCGGCACGTCGGACTCTTTGGCGGCGGGTCCCTCAGTCCCTCTCGGAGGGAAGGACCAGCCGCCGAATTGCCGCTGAAGAACGAAGCGGCGGCGGTAGAGCTGCTGCTGAAGTGCCGCCGATCGCGGCTTTTTTTTGTTTCCCGCCACTTGGGGCGGCAAAAACACTGGCGCCGGCCCTGTCTATTGCCACAAAATATCAGGGCCGTAGCCCCCTGGCCCTTGCATGGTGGGCAGCACGGAGCGCCAGGCTGTGGAGCCAGTGTGAGCGAAGGCCACAGGTGGTACATGTTTCACATGAAGCATTCGAACATATGAATTTTCACCCACCCAGTGGGCTTTGCTCGCACTTGTGTGAGTCTAGTGCCCTGCGCTGCCCAGGTGAGGGCACTGCCCTCTGCTACAGGACCCCCTCACACGCCTCACTCCTGTTGCTAGGCAGGAGAACCGTGGCTGTCAGGCTCTCGGTAATGCAGGGCTGGGGTGCCCGGTGCCCCTGCCCTGAACAGGCTCCTCTGCTCTCGGGCTCGGCTGTGACCAGACAGGGCTCTGCTGTCAGAAAGCCCCTCGTCCAGCATGGCCTGGCACTGAGGGACCCCCGCATGCTGTGCAGGATTTCGAATGTTTATTGACTCTGGAACCAGTCTCCCACCTGGCCTTCCCTGTGGCTGTGGCGGGGTATAGGCCTGCTCTTGGCACCACATCCAGATAGTCCAGGGATTTCCCCAGAGCTAAGAGGAGTCACTGGCTCTTCTTGGCAGCAGGGAAACCCGTCAAAGGATTTCGCTGTTGGTTCTAACATGCAATGAGCAAACAGAGGCTGGGAGATTGGGTGTGGATCCCCCATGCCGCGCTCCTGGAGCCTGTGGGGGGCAATAGGGTGCGGGGCAGAGGGGGAGTGTGTCTGCTTACGTTCCACTGGACACTTTCACACTTCCCACCCGGTCACAGAAGCCGTGAGCCCAGAGGCTGGGCACGTCATCTTCCTGGATTTCCATCTTGTTGCCCTTGAAGTCAGCAGATTCAAAGAGGGAGATTTTATAGCCATCAGCCGCCTGGGGAAGACAGCAGGGTAGAACCAGCTCAGCGGGCTGATCCACACTCACGTGCCAAAACACCAGTGGGCTCATGCCACGTAACCACGGGGGCTCAGAGCCCAGCATGGGGCAGCTGGACTGGCAGCCAGCAGCAGCAGTAGAAATGACTTACATGGTCCAAAGCCCAACACACAGGGTTAGTCACAGGAAGGGGAGCCTCCTTGCTCCGAAGCAGAGGGGGACGGGTGGGCTTTGGGGAGGGGAGCTGTGGGGGGCGCTGATACCCAAGCTGGGGAGAGGGGGGAGCTCCCTTCATTTGTAGCAGAGAAGATGGACCTGTGCTCCCCACACTCCTTTGCTTTAGCCCCTGCCTGCGTTGAACGGTTTATGAAGCGAGCAGCTTTGTGACCACACCAAACAACAGTGCATCTGAAAGTGCCAGAGGCCAGTTTGGCTGCAGGTCCCAGCTGATCACCCGCAGGGCCCAGGAGGAGTCCTCCCCCTCCCCCGACCTGCAGCATGATTCACTGGCCCAGGTGCGTTTCAAGGCTGTGCACCTCCGGGAGGTGGGCTGCTGGGTTGCACAGGCTACGCTTTCCTCCCAGTGGCAGAGCCATTATCCCCGACAGCTGTGGGGCACAGCTCTGATAGGGGGTCCTGTTCACCAGCGTGAGGACCCAGCCACCCCCACATGGCATCTCCAGAGCCCACGCTTGTTTTCTACTCCTTTATGGCTTGTACTTTGCCCTCCTGAAAGCAGCCCAGTCGGACTCTAGGTCCAGTCTCTCTTACCATCTTGATGGGACGCATGGACCTGAAGCAGTCGCTCCTGTAGCTGCTGGACCAGGTATCCCAGCGAGGATACTCGCCCTGCTCCAAGATGAACATCTCTCCGCGCAGGTTGGACTGCTCAAAGGCCACCCAGCTGAGGAGAGGGGTGGGGGCAGAACATGAGGAAGGCAGCAGTGGGCAGGCCGCAGAGCTACACACACGAGACAAGTTAGAAATAGCTACGGCACTGTCTCATCTCCTGCAGTGGGGCCTGGGCTCAGACTCGCTCGCCAGCCAGCAGCTGAGCTCAGCTCACCTGGGAATTCCTAATCATTCCCACTTCCCTGCCTCCATCTCTTCTCTCGCCCTGCGTGCCTAAGGGAAATGCTCACACAGGTGTCAAAACAATCGAGAAGTAGCCATGCCCCCAGCGGGATGTCCAGGGCGCCAGAGACACGCAACACGCGGCGATAGAACTGGGAGGGACTCCCGCAGGGCCCGCTGCCAGGGGTTGTGTTCACTGTTGCACGTCTCTAGCCTTTGTTACAGACAGGGACTTTACAGCCTCTCTTCCATGATGTCAGCTGCCGTTCCTTCTGCTGGCCCAGGAACGTGGAACTCAGCCCATGTCAGTCAGCAGGAAGTATCAGCATATTTCGGGCTGGTAAGTGATCCAAGTGTCTCTACCCACCCTCCCTCCCGCACTGTCCCACACGGGAGACCACGTGTCTTTGGGCTGTGTAATCCTGGCTGCCTTGCGTGATTTACTGCCCCAGTGGCCGTCAGATCAGGCACGTGTGTGGATGCCAGGACACAGCAGCTCCTGGCCTGTTCCGCTGAAATAGCACATTTTGAATAACATGAACAAGTGCCCTGGGCTGGTCTCCATTTCATGATCCCAGGGCTCAAGGCTCACAATGCTCGAATGCAGGGCACCGATCTATGGATTTGGGGGCTGAATTGCAAACAGCAAGGTATAAACCTTTGGTCCTGAATAGTGCTCCGTTTACACCTTTCTTACGGCTCCCCCGCACTTCCCATCTCACCCTTCCCAGCTCTGCTTTATTTAGAGCTCGTCCTCCCAGGCTGATTCCCCCTCCCAGGCTGGGAAGGACCATTTACGCTGTCACTGTGCAGTCTGCTTCCTGAGCCCGCACCCTTGGCCAGCTCCACCCCCTGGTGGATGGTGCGTGGTCAGGCTGGCCGCTTGGCTTTCACCATTGCGTTTCACTTTCCAAGGAATGCACGTTGCAATTGAAAGTGCTCTTGGTACCTCCTCAGCTGACTCTCCTGGTCTAACTGGAGTCTGCAAAGCACTTTGTCTCTGTCGGTCAGTGATACGCAGGGCCCGGCTGTGCGTTTTCCAGCTGAGGGCTCTGCTCGAACCAATTCCCCTCGTGATAGAGTTTTCCCACGTGATGCTTGTGTCATAAAGTCTCTTCATTTTACCCGAGGAGCTATCCACAGCTTCCCTGGCACGGCACATAGCTCCCCCCACCCCCGTTCCTCCTGCTCCCCCCAAGCACCCTACAGAAGATCTGCTGAGCTGCTCAGCTCCTGCCCAGACATAACAGCTGCTGCAACACTCCCGTCTGCTCATTAACTCTCCTCAGAACAGCATCAAAAGACATGGCAGATGCTGGCTGCAGTCCATAGGATGATGTAGCCATCTACATCCCGAGGCCATGTCAACTCAGCATTTCTCATCAAGTTTCCCCCAGCTGCACTAGCAGCAGAGGCAGCAATGGTCAGGTCCTAGGGTCTGGTGAAATCATTGGGTTGTGGTTGTGCTGGGGCGGTGGGAGTTACTTTTGTAGCCCCAGGGAGCTGATAAAGGGCAGGTTTAATAAAGCATCAGGCGCCATTACAGACTGTTGCTTTCATACTGTCTGAATCTCGAGTCATTCATGACAACCAAACTGATACCGGGCCAGCTCCACTGGTACAGTGATCGGCTTTGCATTGTTCTATGGCTGCAGACTCTCGTCTCGGTAGGTCAGGTCTGTCGCTCCTAAGACCATGTCGGAAGCAAATGCCAAGCACATCGGCAGTGATGCATTCCTTTGCTATTCTCATGAAATACTGGTGTTCAGGGGTTCTCCTGTCTTTACAAAACAAGCACCACAAACTCTGCACCCGCATTTCCACCTCTGCTCTGCATCCCACCTCGTCATAATCCTCCTTTAGCTTAGAGTTTTGTAACCCCCAAAATGTCCATGCGTTTCAGGTTACAGCTTAATCTTAATGCTTCTTCCCCTGTTTGTCCAGTACAACAAGAACGACACTGAGCATTGACACAGCACTTTACACCTTCACAGGAGGGATAAATTCATCAGGTGTGTTACATCTGTCATTCAAAGTACGCGAATCAAAGATCATGCCAGTGTCAGTCAAAAACCAACTCCTAATGCCTCTTGTCTCCTATTGGGGTCTCCTTTTCTTTTGTACAATATTGTACATTCCAGACTGCCTCACTGAGACCAAAACACCCTTCCAGTGGCATTGCTTGGGGTCATCACAGACTGTGTCGGCTGAAGTCCCTATGCTCTTTTAATAGCAAGATCAACCATCTGTACAGTTAGCAACTGGCATTCACCTGGAGGTTACTGCAATTCCCATGACTTCCACCTATTCATGCTTCCTTCACTGCTGCTTTTAACACAACACGTGGGGCTGCCCTGAGGCCTTCCCCTCTCATACCCACACTAGCTTGGTGTTGCCTGTATTACAGGCTGGGTGAGCGGCTATTCCAAGAACTTGGGTAGTTTTGCCTTGGCTTGCCCTAAATTTACAGCATTCTTTCATTTTATGGCCAATCTTCCCACGGTACCAGCGCCTGAGGGCAATGTTCCCCTTGCTTTCTCTTTGTTGGCAGTGCTCTTTGTTTTACAAATGGAACCTAATAGCTTCTCAGAGTCTAGTTGGACTCCCTTTTCTTAGTCATTAGGAATCATAGACAAAGGCCACTCCACATTCAAACCTCTCTTTAAGATGAATGCGCTCCTGGGCAGCTCTAATGTCTGCCAACGTGGCAGCTAAATTCACCATCTCTGCACAGCCTGGCACCACCACTCTCTACTGGCTCAGTGCTTCTCGCCCAGAAATGTTATCCCACACTTCTGGCACCCTCTGAGCTTGCAGGAAGATCTGGTCCCCATGGCCAGGAGGCCAGTTCCCTGTTGGGAGAGAGGATGAGAGGGCCAGCACATGCCTTGCAGAGCTCCAGGACACAGCAATGGAGCAGTTCCATGCCTGGATCTCCCCAGCATTGCACCTGGTGTCATCAGTTCCCCCTGCCCGGCGGGTGTAACCTGCTACCAAATGAGAAAGGTGCTGGGTGACTGCGAACTAGACTCCCGTCCAGGGAACTCAACCGTTCCTGTTCAGGCTGTCCGTCACTTGCAGGAATCGATCCAAACCACTCCCCGAGCGGCTTGCCTTGACCCAGCTTCATACTACTCTTGGAGTTCACAGGGATACTAAAGGGTAATGCAGTATTAACAGAAACGACGACACAGTAATGTCCCGTCCTAACTCCTCACATTTCAGGTGACAAGGAGTGCTGCTATAAAACTGCCATCAGGGGAGGCGGCGTGGTGCTGAATGCCTGAATCCCCCAAGTGAAGCACCACCTAACGCCGCTGGGCAGAGGCAGTCTGCAGTCTTGGTTAACCTTTGCCAGAAGGACGGGACTGTCCCTCTAAAATACAATGGATGGTAATAAAGCCATGGGTCTGTACTGCATGCCTGCCCCTTTCTCTGGAATAGCTTCTTTCAACCTCTGGTGAGTTGCACAATTCTCTGTGTAGAAGGGGTCATTTCCCTTTTCTGCAGGGTACATTTTGTGTCCTTTTCTGACAGACACTCACTCCAGACAACTCCGAGCCCCTCAGGAACTCCATTCCCCAGGGATGATCCTGCACAACTTCATTTCTTTGCACAAGAGCTGTTTGGATTATAGACACGCAGACGTGTCTGAAAGCCCCGAAGTCCAGGGTCTGCCTCCTACATTATTTCCTGGTTCAAATGTAAGTTAAAAGAAAGATTCCTTGGGGGAGCACTTGTTATACACACACACACACACACACACACACACACACACACACACACACACACACACACACACACACACACACACACACACACACACACACACACACACACTTCCGCTGCTACAGACTAGGGCAAATCTGACTTCCTAGAAAGCTGAACCGCCTTCATTTTGGGTGGCCAGGCCCAGCAAGGTGTCTCAGGCTGGGCCTCCTAAATCACCAGCCACTTCTGACGGTCTTGGCCTACATGTCCTGCATTGCCTTGGCCTTGCTAACTGATCTGGCTCCAGGAATTGCATGGTGTTGTATTTAAGAGGTTAATTATAATGGCAGGTTGTGGCAATGTTAAATGTAGTTTGATGCGCTGGATCCAAAGATCACAAGTTCCCAGCAGTGGCCGATAACATTGTACAGACTCTTGACACACGTGAATGGAAGTCAGCGGCAGGGCTGTGAGCACTGAGTTGTGCCTCCTAGTACAGTGGCTGCCTTTTGAACCCTGCCATTAACTCTGCCTGCCAGACCCCTCGGAGAGCCTCTCGTGTGCCTCCTGCCCCGGCTGCGTCACTTACGGGCCAGTGCTGACAATGACGCTGCGCACCCGGTCGAACCCACGGTCGCCTAGGTTCAGGCACTCGTTTGTGAACTCCATCTTCCTGCCCTGGAAATTCTCCTGCTCAAAGATGACGATCTGCAGGGAGCCAGAGGAAAAGGGTTCAGAACCGGCAACAGCAATAGCCCCCCCCTGGGGGGTTAGCGGCAGATAGCGTTCAGCCTGGCTCTCCCACAGCTGCTGCGCTGCCATCAGTGTTAGCTTCCCCTGGAGTCAGCAGAATGCTAGGATCGACGGGAACAGCTGCAGCACAGCCCGCATGCTCTACCTGGATGGAGCTTGTGCACTGAGCACCTGGAGCAGGTGCATGCCACCACTACCTAACTACGCTCCCTCTGGATGGCCCTGAGAAGTTCAGCAGCACAGTAGGTGCCCTCTGCGATGAAGTATCTGCAACATTTGGCAGCTGTTAGAGGCTTAAGGATTTTCTATTGTGTCAGTCCTGTTTTGAATTGCTCTCTCTTGCCGCAGGGTGGGCTACGGCTTCTGCTTTCTTCCCTGACTACTTACAACTGTTCAGCTTAATCCTGTGACATTTCAGGGACCTGAAGAGATGTGGTGGGAGGGACTTCCAGTGAGTCTCAGTTAGGATGCCCCATCCCACCCCGGCTCACTCTGACCCGCTGCCCCAGGACCAGTCTCCAGTCGTTCTAGGACAGTGCTGACTTGAATACGCCCCTCTAGTGAGCCCAGTGGGAGCAAGCTCCCGGTTACTTCTCCCCTTCCTGCTTTTTGTCCCCGGCTGACAGCCACTCTGCAAATGGCCTCAAACCAGACTCTAGCTTTGCACCTGAAAAACGGCGTGTGCCTGTGTGGGGTGCATGGCACAGCCACAGAGTGGGGACTGGGGCTGAGCTACGCAGTGACACACCCAATCCAGGGAAACAGGCAATTCTGCAGGGTCCCTCGCTTTCACAGCGTGGATTTTGCAGCTGCAAAATCAGAAGCTTCATCTAAAGCTGTGGCCTTTGCTGTCTGGAGGTGGCGTGCGTGTACCGGCAAGGGTGGCTTTCCTCCCCATTCCTCCCGTGGAGTCAGCAAGGTTCAGGTTCTTTCAGAGCACACCACTGCCATCGGCCCTTCCAGGAAAGGATCCTAGTGTCAGAGCCATGTGGTTTAGACACCAGCCCAGCCTCTCCTGGAGCGGGGGGAGAGCAGCTGCAGCTCACAGCCTCAGCCCCAGCTTGAGAACTGCCCTGCTCCTAAACCCCTGTCTTGGATTTTTCTAGCAGCAGGAGCAGGAGAGAGTGGTGTGAAGCATCAGACCCCAAGCCCACGACTCGGCAGAGCACCTGGAGCCATTCCCTGTGCAGGCCAGTACTCAGCCTCTAGGGAGTGGTGGCTAAAGCACTAGAAGACATGCTGGACAGGCTGATTCTGCCTCTGCCTCATGGCTTTTCTCCTTCTCTAACTTCTGTGATTCCCACGCAGCCGCTGTTCCGGACGCCTCGTCCCTGGGATTTGGTGCTTCACAGAAGGCCTGGTGGGAATCCACGTAATCGTTTATGGGCTGCTCTGAGGAGGAGTTGGCTGCAAGTGCAAGGCAAGGGCCAGTGCAGGGAGCCCGCTTGCCAGGGCCTGCTCAGGGGAACTGCACTGCCCCTGCGAGGAGAAGGCCTGTCCTAGTGGGGTCCTAGGCCTGGGCAGCTGGGGCTCATGCATGATGCTCCAGAGCTAAGACCTTGCTCTTTAGCCTGACACATTCCCCAGCCATCCATGGCACCTTGCTGCTGAGACACTTCCCTGCTGCCTGTACCCGCCCCACCGCACCAAGCACGGGCTGGTCATCCCGGGGGGCTTACCCTGAAAGCTTGCTTGGAAGGTTGCTCAGCCTTCGTGTTCGAAACAGGAGTGTGGTCTGGATATGGGGCTGGGGCCAGAGCTCCCTTCTCCTTGTCATCAGCAGCCTGGCTGGCAGCAGCAGTTTTCACGGTCTCCGCCATGGCTGTGGTCAGCTCAGGTGGAAGAGGGGCACCGAAAGGAGACATCGTTTGCAGGTTAGTGTGTATGTCACAAAACACCCCTCCCCTGACCGAGGCCCCAGCAGAGGGTTGTTCTCTCCTCCCTTGGGCTGCTCTGCCCACCGCACAGTCTGCTTGCAGCTAGCCCAGCGAGCCAGCAATGGTCCTCCACACCCAATGGAGTCCTGCCATCCCCTTTGACTGCCTCAGCCCCCCTGCCCTCGGGGGGCTCGCGCTGGCGACCCCAGGCCCACGCTGCCTCCTTGCCCCTCTTTAGCTGGTTGCTTCTTTTGCAGTTGAGTGGCAAGAAATAACTGGGGCTGGGTGGGTGCTGGGATAATGGATTCCTGTGCCCTGCCCGTGCCCCTTTGGGGTCACTCCCTGCACATGGCCCAGAGAGGGGGTCTGTCCCTGCTCCCCGGGCCGGGCCCTCTGCCCTGCCGGCCCTTCGCCAGGGTCTGTCCCTGCTCCCTGGGCCGGGCCCTCTGCCCTGCCGGCCCTTCGCCAGGGTCTGTCCCTGTTCCCCGGGCCCGGCCGCTGCCC